ATCCGTGCGTCCATTTCTTATTGTGTCCGATTGTCACTGTGTCCGATTGCCACTGTGTCCGATTGCCACTGTGTCCGATTTTTACTGTGTTCAATTTCAACCATTTTGTATCCGTTCCTTATAGCGTCCATTTAGATGTGTCCGATCCATTCAACCTGCTGTGTCCGATTTATTTTGTGCGCAACTGGGATTCACTCGATGAATCCTGCAATTGAAATGATGATATAAGTGAACATGACAATTTTGACATAAAATATGATAGATCTGAATGTTACTATATTATCATATAAATAGTCTTAATTTTAAAATCTCGATTGCATATGTAATTCTTGTAGATAATTTAATTACAGATATAAATCCGTGAATCTATATTATGTTTAATGAGAATCATTTTTATTATGAAAATTGTTTATAAATTGTTGAATATATTTTGTTTATTTGTTTATGAATTTGTCATAATTGTATTATAAATATGGGAAATATTTTTCTTATTTATATATTATGGTTAATTAAAAAAGATAGTAATTAATAATATTATTTTATTATTTATTCATTGAAAATGATTTAAAAATGACGAATGATTTTTAAATGACAATATATTTATGATAATATTTCGTGACAAATGTTATATTTATTTTATGTCATTTTTCAGTACACTGGCAAAAAATGACCTTAAATCATGATGTCATCTTGCTACTTGAAATACATAGATTTTATACGAATAATCTTAGTATATTCGGTATGATCACAATACATTTAGTATAAATACAGAATATTTGTATCATGTGCTGCTAGAGTATATTCGATATATTCTGAATGAGCTTAAGAATATATGAGAAATATATGATATATCATCAAGATGTCATATTTTTTCTGGTATATTAGGCAATAGTACGTATGACTACAGTATTTTCAGTACGAATGTAGAATATTCGAATAATATCATGTGCTATTATATAGTAACATTCATTAATCAGATTTATCATATTTTATGTCAAAATTCCGTGTTCACTTACATCATCATTTCAGCTGTAGGTTTCATCCCATTATAGAAGTTAAGTAGCATCGAATAGAATCGAGTAGAATGGATGACCGTTTTAAAAACATGCAATGATACAAGATAAAAAATGTTTCATTACTTTCTTTCAATTTTTTTCATTTTTTTCACTTATTTTCCGTAAGAGGTATCACGTATATTATAAATTTTCACGATCTGTCTGGGGTATTCTTATGCATGCCCTACATGATATACTGTTTTTAAACCATTTTCATCCTATGGCCATACTGCGGGATATCCTCCAATACATATTAGAGATTAGATTAATGAGCGATTAGATTAATAACGCTTTAAGTACATTCCACAGTATGTCGCAGTATGTATTTCGAATGTTCGGAGAATATTTCGAATATACTTGTATGATGTGGAACGTTCTCAGAATAGACGAGTGCTATTAGGGAATTTACAATAATTATTAAATTAAAATAATTATTAAATTTGACCGCCACAAGCAAAGATTTATTACTTTTATTTTCAAACTACAATTAAATGAAGCGTTTAAGAATCTCGAAAGGTCTAGAATGGAGTCTTTCCGGCTTAAGAGAAGGATTGCGCAACACGTTCCTCAATACATACAGTCTCAATTTTTTTCGAGACAGGAACTCTCACTCGCACATTTATCACGCAGTGAGTTTGACAAACTGAGGAATAAGATGAGGTGATATGCCTGGTAAGCAGAAGATCCAGGTCAATTCCCGGCTGAGGTGATATTTTTCGCAAAAATAATAATTATGAATTTTCACAACTGATTCGTGGTCGAGCCCCGCCAGCGATTAAAAGTTTTACAATTAATATTGAAAAAAAAGCCAATCACAAAAAATGTAGAAAGCACAACGTTGGCGAAACATACAGAAAGGCTTCTCTGAATCAGATTTAGCAGAGAGTGACAAATATGCATGATCTTTAGACATGAATCAGCTGACGGATTACGAGATGATAATAGCTAACCATTTGGTTGATCAAACATGATTGGTCGAGAAGCATTCAGAGAAGCTGTTAAAAGAATCAAACCATTAAAATATTCTGTTTCACCTGTCACTGAGGTATCAGTTATAACGGTTAATCTTGAGAGATCTTCTTGGAAATTTTCGAAGGACGGTGATGACAATTGTTGCAAAACTTTAGTATTAATGTCGATCCCGTATCCTTTGATTATAACACATCAATGTCTTTTCTCAACACCATTCAACAAGCATATAACAATAGTGATGGGATGATGCCGAGAGCCTACGGCCTTCCCAAAATTCAAGGAAGGTTGCTCATTTAGAATCATTGTATTATCGGTAGATAGCGTTCTTTATCCGTTGGCTTTGCATTTCCATCGTATCATCTCTAAAAATGTATCCAGACCACGCAGTTACATAAAAAACAGCCTCGAACTGGTTAACAAACTCTCCGGGATATCGTTAGCACGATGTTACAATCTAATCTTCTTTGACGTTGTATCTTTATTCACTAACATTCCTCTTGATTTGGCATTTAATTATCAAGAAAAGAGGAGATTTTGATGGGATGCAATATATCGAAGGAGGAATTTATTAGAGGGGTTTCACTCGTTCTCAATTCTATTTATTAAATTTGATGACGTTATTTACAAACAATCCTTTGGTACTCCTATGGGCTCTCCGCTTTCTCCCATCATTGCGGACCTAGTGTTAAGCGATCTGGAGAAGAGAGCACTTGAGAAATGTGGAGTGACGATCTCTTTTTACCTAAGGTAGATGACATTGTCATGGCTGTTTCTTCCAATAAAACAAAAGACATCCTAAATATTTTCAATTCTTTTTATCCGAGACAGTTTACAGTTTACAGTCCGTTTACAGTTTACTTTAGAAGAGAGAGAAAAATTTCTCAACTTTTTGGATGTATGAATCAAATTAAATGGCGATGTGATCGAAACTAATTGGTATCAAAAACCCATGTTCTCAAGAAGCTATCTCAACTATTTTTCCCAGCATCCTCTCTCTCAAAAACGAGGGATGATCTTTGATATGGTTGATAGGACTTTGTTACTCTCACACTCTAAATACCATCAAAAAAATAGAACGGATCATTAGCATTTTGAGAGACAGCGATTATCCTCTAAACTTTATTTTCAACTCCATTAACTACGTTTAAAAAAATTTCTATCAACGACAATTAACTTCAACCCAAAAAACAATTTGATTACAACTGTGGAAGACTCGAGTAAATTTCCTTGGTTTACTGTGCCTTTCATAACATAGATTGCGGATAGAATGAAATTAGCTATCACTAATTTAGATTCTAAGATCTCCTTCTTCAGCCTTAATAAGCTTGGAGGATTAATCAAAGCTCAAAAAAATTCTCTTCCAATCACACAAAACAAAAATGTAATCTACAAGATCTCTTGCAAAAATTGCAACGCTTCTTATGTGGGACATCTCGACAACTAAAAACAAGAATTTCTAAACACCGAACTTACATTAACAGAAATACGGCTACCTTTTCTGTCATTACAGAACATAGATTGCAATTTAACCATGATTTTGATTGGGAAAATGTCAAAATCCTTGATAAGGAGCGTTTTCTAGAAAAGAGACTTGTCTCGGAAATGCTATACATTAAAAATCAAGCAAATAGCCTCAACTTGCAAAAAGATACCGAATTTTTAGTGTAATTTTTAAGTGTTTGATAAATAATTGGACCTGTGCCTATGGGATAATCTTTTGATTGGCCTTGTGCTACTGGCCTGGAAACCGATATGAGCATCTACCTTCACTTATAATTGACGGTTATTGCATAGATACACGATACCAATCGCCACGGTTATATCTTCTATGCTAATGTTCCTAATTTTCCGAGTTTTGTTTAATTTTTTTTAAAATTTTTATTCGCTGAGGATGGCTCAATATAGAGCCGAAACGTTCGAATGACGATCACACTCAAATTTATATTAAAATTGAATTTATATTAAAGAAATTGTTTACGTAAAAAGTATTATGTTTATTAAATTTACCACGCACTAACAACCGCGTTTTGACTCTTAGTGCCTTTTTTATTTGCAATCTATTATAATTTACGCCATTTTAATTTATGATCTAATTACGGAGGCAGAGGTGATATCGTTATATTATGTTTGATAATTTTTTTAGATAATTCGTTTCATGATACAAAGAGACAATAACACCTGAAAAATTAATGAAAATAAAACATACAAAATAAAAATAATATAAATGGAAAATTTATTATATTATATTCTTTATTATATTCTTATCTAGATAATTTATAAAATTTTTTACATGTCACGAATAAAAAGGCGAAATAGATATCGAAAGAAATGTCATTTCACATAATTATATTAAATGGAATAGTTAAATTACCTTATTAATCAAATATATAACATTAATAAGCATTTTGCATTTCACTAACGCGATAAAACTTTAAGCAATAGCACATGATTAATAATAAATACATTAGTCACTTAATTGCTTAATTAACTAAAATCTAATTTTTCGTTTCGTGTATTAAAATATACAGAGCGAGTCAGAACAACCATTTGTCCTTAAAATGTCATATTCTTGTCGATTCTAAGACGATTTTTTTTCTGTCAAATTTTTATCAACTTAGTTTTTGAATTATAAGGAAAAACAGTTCGCGAATAACGAGCATACAAAAGATAGGCAGGAGCGATGCAAATCACTCCGCAAGCGATTAGGTAGGATACTCGATGCAATCAACTGATCATCTTAGAATTGTCTCAAGAACGTGACATTTTAAGGATAAACGTCGTTCTGAATCATCCTTATATTGAAAAAAATGAAATGTATCGAAAAAGTTATATATTATAAAAGTTAATATTATTATCGTTTCGTCATATATGAAAAAATATTGAAAAATAATAATACTGATTGTCTAATTAAGAGAAATAGAAACAATCCGGTATGAAAATTTTTATAAGATTTCGCTCTATTTCCTGTAACAATTTTTTTTTTAATCATATTTGTTGTTTTGTAATATTTATCGTGTTCTACTAAATTATTGCATACTATAGTACTAATTACAGTTATAAAATCATGGAATTGACATTAATGCCAGATGCAACAATTTCGGCGAAGTGTTTCATGATAGCCCTTTTATATTCTATTAATCATTAATTATGCGTCTATATTTCCTATTAGGTGGAAAAACTTCTTCATCTTCATCTTTATCAGGTGTAAGAAAAGGATCATCATACGCATAATTTGGCGCCCATTTCAATAACAATTTCTCAAAAAATTCTTCTAAATTTCTAGCTTCCTGATAAACTTGTGAATCTACCTGAAAAATGAGTGATAGATAGAAACATAAAAAGAAGGCAAAAATAAAATAAAAAGAATTAAAAATAATAATTAATTGATTTACGGGATTGTATGTAAAAGCATTTTTAAACATGAGTCGGATATCCGCCATAACTTGTCTCAAATCTGTATAATGATTTATATGATCCGATTTTAATTTATCCCTGATTATATCCAGTGCAATTG